GGGACTCGATCCCGGGACTCCAGGATCATGACCTGAGCCGAAGGCAGTCGCTTAACCAACTGAGCCACCCAGGCGCCCAGGATCTGAAATTTAAACCTAGATCTTTTTAACTCCTAAGCCCATGCAATGGTCTCAAGTATTTTGGGGAAGTAAAATAGCATGATGTCACCCTTGGCTTTGTGGAATAGTTTTCAAAAAGAATCTGCCATAACTTTCACTTCTGTTTTGCATCTGAAGGGAAAAACTACATGCAGCCGTAGTCTTCGGGGCAGAATATATGATTCTTTTATTCATTTACTATTTGAGTGCCTACTATGTGCCTGGTCCAGGTGCTAATATCTATGTACCTATTTTTTTTATTTTTTATTTTTTTCAGTATACCTATTGGAAGTTTAACCAGTAGTTTACTTTTCTGTACTTTTTAAGTGATCTCTAGATTCCTTTTTAAATACATTAAAACTGGAATTTTTTTTTTCTGCAGTGAACCTGTTCACGCCAAGAAACGAAAGCATGAGGGTGTTATAGATAAATATGAAAAAATACCAAGAACTCTGCAAACTGCACCAGAGAAGGAACTGATTCACTTACTTCCTATCAAGGATAAAAGTGGTATAATCCCACAGACCAGGGAGAAGCCAGGTGAATCTAATCAATCATCCAGTGTATTAGTAAAAATTTTAGCTCCTTACTAATACCACATTTTTTTTCCCACTCAAGATTTAATTTTATTCTTACTTTTACCTACAAGATAGGGGGTAGCTGCAATTAGTCATATAGCAAGCTTGATGATTTTGGCCAGAAATACAGATGATTATCTCTGATGTCTGTTGTATCATGAGATAGCTAAAGCTACAATCTTGAGGTGCTTTTCTTTTCAGTTTTTTTCACCAAAGACTCTTGTTTCTAAAATTAGAATATTAGTTATCCTTTATTAGCCTTTTTTTCTTACATGTATCTTTTTTCTTGTGAAATAAAACACACAGAGAAGTCTAGAAGTCAGAGTTGCCTTGTGAAGTTACGTGGTTTATCACAAAAAACACACCCATAAAACTACTGTCTGGGCAAGAAGTAAATGCTGCCGGCACCCGGAAACTTCCTTTGTGCTCCCCTCAATCATTAATTGCTTCCTCCTCACAGAAGTAACTACTTTCCCAAGTTTTATGGTAATCACTTTCCTGCTTTTCTTTGTAGTTTGATCACTTTAAAAGTATATTGTCAGATTTTTTTTTTTTTTTTAAAGATTTTTTAAAATTTATTCATTTGACAGAGAGATAGCACAAGTAGGCAGAGCGGCAGGCAGAGGGAGAGGGAGAAGCAGGCTCTCTGCTGAGCAGGGAGCCCGATGCGGGACTCGATCCCAGGAGCCTGGGATCATGACCTGAGCCAAAGGCAGACGCTTAACCGACTGAGCCACCCAGGCGCCCCTATTGTCAGATTTTTTAATATACATGTTTTCCATACAGTTACAGACAGTAACCAAGATGAAGAGGATCAAGAAGAGCTAGAACTTGAGGAAGGTAATGGAATGTACTTTTGTAGTTACTAAATTGTTAATTGAGAATTACATTTTTTTTTTTCATAATAGTAAATGTGACTTAATTTTAGATAAAGTCTGAAATGTGCATTTTAGAGTACTGGTCATTTCAAGGTCATTTTGAACATTTTCCCACATGTTGAAAGTCTCACCTGGTGGAATTTGATTCTTTGTTGCTCTTCATTATGGAGAATTTTATGCAGTTATGTTTGTAATGTCTAGGCCTGCATGAAGAGTCTTACAAATTATTACCATTTTGAATTCTTTTTAATTTTAAGTGAAGGACCTGCCTACAAATACTAACTTTTTAGCTTTAAATTACAAAATGATTTTGTGATATGAAATCATTTCACTTCTTAGAGC